ATAAGTGCCAACAAAGTGCCATATCTTGGAAACAACATAAGCACATATCTTATCGGCTATAATCAAACGAGACAAGATCAATTATTGTCTCAGGAATGCTTCTCCAACTTATCACTTACCTTAAATAATAAAATAAGTATTAGATAATAGATATACATGTGCAAGACTAAATTGGTAAAACTGAACAAAGAAAAATGTAGAGAGTACATTAACAATGGCTTTGACATACAACCTAATAAGTACATAAATTTGAAGGTTTATATTACCAACTTAAGTTAGTCATGGTGTAACAATAACCACACTCCTTTTCATCGAATCATGCATGAACCAAGAAAGCACAAGATTGAGATGCATAATTAAACATATTTAAAGCATATAATATTTGGATTCTGAATAATTCAAGTTAGAGCAACCCATTCTTCAAGAAAAAAATATCTATATAAACCCTAACAAATAATGAAAGAGATATAAAGGTTAGAGCTGAAGAGAACGTACGATTTAGACTTCCTTATTTTTTTCTGGCCATTATATTAAGCCAATTTTCCGATGAACTTAACAGAGATGGAGTAAATGGTAAAAATTTGTACTCCAATATATATATATATATATATATATATATATATATATATATATATATATATATATATATATATATATATATATATATATATATATATATATATATATATATATATATATATATATATCACTTAATTTTTTTTATATAAAAATATAATTGTATGTATTAAATAAATCAAAATTTGATTTAAATTAAAAACACAAATTGATCTTATAAAAAATTATTATATGTTTAAATATTATTTAAAAGAATCAATGATTTAAAAGTCGAAATTTCACGCCTATTCATCTTTCATTTTAAATATTACTTTGATTTTAGTATCAAATTTAATGTTTGTTTATAATATAGTTGTTTTGTATTCAAATCAGAAATAAGTGAAGATCAGATGAATTTGAGTTTTAATATGTTGAGAGAGTTTTTGGTACAACGGAGCGCATACAGGTTGTCGATCAATCAAATCCAATGTTGGGGGATAAGTGGGTGACTGGAATTCGGTGTCATCATTTGGGTTGAGGTATGACTTTTTTCGACCATCTTTCCATGTGATGCTTATTATTGGGATTTTTTTCGTAGTTCTTGTGAGCGGTCTAGAGTAGTTACCCCTTAAGTCCGTGTTCTTGCACATAGAACGAGGGTTTGTCATGCATGCCTTCAGTCCAGCTTATGGTAGAAGGAAATGGAAAAGCCTTAGCGGGCATCAATAACATTAAGAATAAGCGCATTAAATATATCCTCATGAATAACAATGTTTCACAGGACAATCTCGACGTGTTGCCATATGTTTGATATTGAAATTACGTTCTCTTTCAAGAAAGATGTCAAACACATTGTGTTAGATAATGTGTATGACAAAATCAACGTGAAGACAATTAAAATGAAGATATATAAAGTAAATAAGACACAAGAAATTGGTAACTCAGATCGGTGCAATGTCACATACGTCTGGAGGGCGTTAGCCCAAGAAAGAAAATCAACTTTTAATAGTAAAAGTACAAATTGGTCTTAGATGAACTGTATATTTCAATATTAAAGAACATCTTCATCAATTCTCTCAATGGAAGGGGTAATTTGTTGTCTGCTCTCTTTTTATTCTTTTTTTAGACTTGATTGTCAACTCTATAATCCTACAAAATCAAGTGTTTAAATCAAACATCAGTCGAATATCAACCTAATGTGTGAAAATAATACACGCCAAACAAATAATTAAAAGAGAATACTAAAAAAGTATAATTCCCAAGGGAAAGAATTTGTCCTAAGCTCTCAGCCATTTGAAGCTTAGCGCGAAAGTGGTAGACTTTATCAATAGGGTGTATCTTTATCATCAACCTATCGGTTTGAGTAACATATGATATTGATTGCTTTTGTTGGTGCACTCCTTTCTTTATTTCCTGACAATTTGAAACTCCATCACCAACACAGACATTTCATCGAACACTTAGTAGGTTATACTAGACTAATTAATTTGATGTTCATACCAAAATTGAAAACAAAGATCTTAACCATCTTATATTCCGACTCCAATTTAGTAGTCGAGTTTCAGGATTTGCCATAGCTTGTTCTTAACAAAAAATCCATCTTGTAAAGTGTAGGTCTGGCAGCAAAATGGCACAATAACTTAGGTAAGAGGACTCAAAGAATAAGGAACATACATTGCATATTCAGCACCAAATCAACATAAACATTAACAAACAGAAAAGCATCCTCAACTTGTGAATTTGTTAAAATACAATTCTGTATCATCTTCATCAAGTATCGACTCTTCATTGTTCCTGCACCATAAACATGTTTCCATTGAACTTATTTAGAACCTGACTTATAGATAATACTATATTATATATGTGGAACATTTATTTATTGAATATATGTTAAACCCTAACATACCTTCTCATCAACTTTGACATATTTTTGTTCAACTTCAGAGGTGGAAACATTTCTCATTGGTTTTTTATTCATTGGCCAGAATCTCTTCCTGGACTGCGTTTGAGCTTGCTTTAGTTGTCACGGTTGTGATCGAGTGCACGATGATGTGAGGCGATCGAAGTAGAGAAGAAAGACGATAAAATCGCCACCTGTTTGAGGAGTGGAGGTTGGTGGTTCGTCGAATTCGTGTTGGCGACGACGGCAACATGAAGATACAGTGGTTGATTTCTTGGTGGACCTCGCAGTAACGTTTGGTTTGAATTGTGTGGGAAGAAAGGTGATTGATTATGGGTAATTTGAATTGTTTAGGAAGAATCAGGTGTAAAGATTGCAAATTTCTCACTCCAACTCTCAATATGATTTTTTATTACTCAATGCATTGAGGAGAGTGAAAGGTCCATTGAGACAAAAGAGAAATTATAATCAAATTAACAAAGAGAAGAAAATTGAAAATGGATGTGTCTTTCCAGCTTCTTTTGTACCTGAAATACATTTCCAACATGACACAATAGCAACATTTAATGTCAAACCTCTATTATTCAAGCTTGGTATAATTAGTCGATAATATCCTTGAGATTAAGTTAATTTAAATATGATTTCAGATGGGTTTAGTGGTGATTTCTAATGACTATTCTTTTAATAGATAAATATTATATTTTACATCTAAATCTGGTGATATAGTGTGATGATATGGCATGTTGTGCCATACTTTGGTGCCTTATGAGTCTTAATTTCCATGCCATTTGTGTCGTAGCAACATTTAATGTCAAACCTCTATTATTCAAGCTTGGTATAATTAGTCGATAATATCCTTGAGATTAAGTTAATTTAAATATGATTTCAGATGGGTTTAGTGGTGATTTCTAATGACTATTCTTTTAATAGATAAATATTATATTTTACATCTAAATCTGGTGATATAGTGTGATGATATGGCATGTCGTGCCATACTTTGGTGCCTTATGAGTCTTAATTTCCATGCCATTTGTGTCGTATCTATATCTAATGTCTAAGTGACATCTATTCATGGGCTAGAAATAAAATAAAATAAAATTATAGAGATCAATAATAAATATTTTTTTATAAATTATCTTAAAAACTTTAACTATTGCACATCCATGTTTTTCATCATCTTAAAATAATTTTGTTTTGTTTATTTTATCTCTTTTTCTACTCATTTATCTATATAAATGAGATATTTACTTGTTTTTTTATCTTAATTATAACACTCTTAGAAAACAAAATCATAATAAAATTCACAGGAACATGTTTTTTCATGGTTTACAATAGTAAAATGTCGACCATACAAATACAACTTGCCACATAGAAATACAACTTGCCACATAGAAATACAACTTAAACATATTTTTAAATTTTAATGCAGTATTAAAGTCTATTTAAAATTTGTTTGACCAACTATTATAAGATTATTTTTGTAGGGGCACGCAGGTTTTGTTTTGTATGTCTAGTCTTTAAGTGTGGATAATTGTCTTAATTCTTAAGAGTCCCATATTAGATATTAGATAGAGATATTTCTTGGCAGTGTATAGTTCTCATCTCAGAAGTCAGTTTTGTAACATCAAGGTAGGCTCAACTCATTTTAATATAGTATTATAGTCTATTTAAAGTGTGTTAAGAGTCTCACATTTAATGAGATATGACATAGATATGTGTTTATAAATTAATGTATATTTCATCTTACAAATCAGTTTTATAAGATTCTAATACAAAGTACATCATTAATTGAAATACGGTGGGATTCAGTCTTTGTGATTTTATAAAAAATGTACGGTAGAATCCAAAGTAATGTGAACAAGATGAACCTTAGCCTTATTTTGAAAGTAACTCATCACGAGTCTGTTATTCAATTTAGACCTATATTTATTGTACAAATCTTTGTATGAAGTCACGAGTAAGGTTATAATTACCAAATTTAAAAAACGACACAGACCATATTTTCTTGCCTTTTCAAGCCAGTTTTATTCGAAAAAAATATTCACCAAAATATTGTTGTCCAAGAGATATTTTAATATTAAGGTGGATCTCTCAAAACATATGATATGATGAGCTACGATTTTATTCGGAGCACCGGGCAGAAAACTGATATTCCTATTGCTATGATTGAAGTGATTCTTAATACTATACTCTAATGTCATGTTTCAATTTATCAATTTCCCCAATCCTCATTTGAAAATAAGACATACATGATCGTTAACAGAATCATACAACAATATCATCCACCAGCAAACATGTTTAACAAACAGCTAAATAACCATTTCATCCCATACCACCCAATTCCATCCCATACCACCCAATTCCATACCACTCCATCAATCCAAACAAAGCCTAAGGAACATGAATATATAAAATTATAGTATGCTAGCTAAAGCCAACAAAAGCATGCATCCCATAGTTATAATATGTAGTAAAAAACATCAATGACAAAGAGAAAAACTCTACACAGCAGACTTTAGAAAGGCTTACTTGCTCCGAAGTATTTTTACATCCAGCCAACAAATTCTTTAGGTGGTTCAATCCATATGCTCTCAAAAGCATCTGGTTCTATCCAATCATGACACAGCTTATTGGGATAATATCTGTGGTCATCAAGAGAGAACGATATGCAACGCTTTCCATAGAAACGGACTTTAGAGAAGTAGACGCTGTTTCTCATTATTTCAGTGACGTAAGTCTTAGAATGAGATGACAAAAAACTAGCAAAAACTGTCACGCCATCTAGAGTTCTCACCTCTTTCCATTCCATTAGTATAAATAATTAAACCAAATGCAGCATATTAGACCATATAACATTTCAATTATCAACGATTTTAATAAAAAACCTGAAACCTGTATAAACCCTAGCAATTCAATCATAAAAATCACAACCTAAGTTAACTCTGAAAAACTGTGCATAGGCAAAAGGAACAACAGAAAAACCATAAAAATATTCAAATTAAACTGTAAAGAGGAAAAACGTTGAAATGTAAATTTGAATAATGGGGTTAGGGGTGAAAAGAACTTACGATTTCAACTTCTTTCTCATTTTCCTCCCTTTCATCATGTGAACCCAATTGCTTGATAAAGTAGAGAGAAACACTGATGAACTTCTTGTTACAGAGGAATAGGTTTATGAATCTATAAATATACTATTTTTTATTTTATTCTTCATATTTTTTAATTTTTTAAATCTATAAATTTTGCTTGGATATAGATATTTTTTAGTATAAATATATTATTTTTTATGTTATTCTTCATTTTTTTTAATTTTTTAAACCTATAAATTTTTCTTGGATATAAATTTTTAGTATAAATATTTTTTTTTATTCTTCATTTTTTTAATTCTTTAATCCTATAAATTTTGTTTGATCGTAGGTTTTTTTAGTATAAATATTTTTTTTTTACGTTATTCTTTATTTTTTTAATTCTTTAAATCTATAAATTTTCCTTTGATACTGGTTTTTTTAATATAAATATATTATTTTTTAATGTTATTCTTCATTTTTTTTAATTCTTTAAACTTATAAATTTTGCTTGAATATAGGTTTTTAGTATAAATATATTATTTTTTATGTTATTCTTCATTTTTTTTAATTTTTAAATCTATAAATTTGCTTGGATTTAAGTTTTTTTTAGTATAAATATATTTTTTTTTGTTATTTTTCATTTTTTTTAATTCTCTAAACTTATAAATTTTGCTTGGATATAGTTTTTTTAGTATAAATATATTATTTTTTATGCTATTTTTTTTAATTCTTTAAACTTATAAATCTTGTTTAGATATAGGTTTTTTAGTATAAACATAATATTTTTTTATGTTATTCTTCGTTTTTTTAATTCTTTAAACCTATAAATTTTGTTTGGAAATAGGTTTTTTTTAGTATAAATATACTATTTTTTTATGTTATTCTTCTCTTTTTTTTTTGCATTATTTGCGGGCATGTTTATGAGGATGTGTCGCATGTTATGCGGGATTGTACAGCTACAATGCATGTTTGAAAGCAGTTTGGAGTCTAGCAATCTTACGCATCAATTTTTTAGATTGGATTTACAGCAATGGATAGAGTTTAACCTAAAGGAGATGAATGGGGTGGGTAAGGAGTGGAGTTGTTTATGGACTATTAAATATAGTTTATTATGGATGTGGCGCAACAAGGAATGTATTGTGATGGTTACCTCAAACTGTTTGATCCTGATGCTTATATTGGGCAAAAAGTTTCGGAGTATGCGGAGGCGATCCTTATGAATAAGGTGGTCATGGAGCAACCACGAGTGGTTCAACGGATCTCTTGGTGTCCGCCACAGAGAGGTTCGTTAAAGCTAAATGTAGATGGAGCTTGCAAGAATGGTTCGGGTTCAGGCCATGGGGGTGTGATTAGGGATGATGGTTATTGGTTTTGTGAAGTATTTGGGTACTTGCAATATGTTTATGGTAGAGTTATGAGGTTTATATGAAGGTCTCAAACTCCTTCATGGTCAGGAAAGTGTGAAAGTGGAGATTAATGTGGATTCCACAAAGGTTCTTAGGGCTATTGAAAGGAGATGTTCTGACATTATTGAGAGCTTATCGCTTCTTAATCATATATGTGGGATTATTGATCAGTTGAATGAAGTGGTTATTTGTCATTCGTACAGAGAGACAAATAAATGTGTTGATGTGCTTGCTAGTGTGGAATGTGAGATTCGTAATGATATGATTCTCTATCATGATGCACCTGATTGCATTGAGAGATTGGTTGAGGAGGATGCTAGGGGTGCATTCAACGATAGATTAGTGTGCATGTAGTTTCGTTATTTTCGGGCTTAAGCTTTCCTTATATAAAAAAATTATTTTGTTTGAATATAGGTTTTTTTGTATAAATACACTATTTTTTTTATGTTATTCTTTTTTTTATTCTTTAAACTTATACATTTTTCTTGAATATAGGTTTTTTTTAATATAAGTATATTATTTTTATGCTATTCTTCTATTTTTTTATTCTTTAAACTTATAAATTTTATTTGGATATAGGTTTTTGATCTTACCGGATCAAATTTGGACCGTCACAGCTGGCTCGAACTGAATTGGAGTGAGATGGGGGGGGAGGGTACCTGCAAGACACTCTGATGCTAAAATGAGAGACGGAATGGACAGGAAAAAAGTATATAGGCGTGTAATAGATGAATACCTGACCCTCTTGGAACAGAGAGTATTTATAGCCCCCAGCGCTGGGCCAAGGTCCCCTCATTGGGCTGACCAGAACTGGCCCAATAAAGCAACTGCCAGGTTCTATGTGTGTAGTGGGGACCCGCACGTGGTTCCCTTCTTGGGTGGTGCTCTGCGAAGAATGAGGAAGGACGAAGACGCGGTGTGATACGGTGGGAGAACTGACTTGGGTTTTGCGTTTGTTTTCGCAAATGTTTCGGTTGAGCAAGAGTCGCCACCGACTTTTTATTTTATCCTAAGGAAAGGTTAAAAAGCACAGCAAAAACCTTTGAGATGTTTTCTTGGGTTCGGGGAGTAGATTATAGAAAGGGAAGGTATTAGCACCCTTTCTATCCATGGTTATCCATGGGCTCTTAGTTACTTGCTTAGATCACTTGCCTTGTGTTTTCAATTGTTTGAAATGGTGCTTTGTGTGTGGGTTTGAAAATGTTTTGAAAAGAAGCCAATGTGGTGGCAACCTTTGTAATGATCCATGTTGGGATGTATACAAATGTGTATATCTTTTGAAAAGTTTTCAATATTTTTTGAAAGTTGTTTTGAAAGTGTGTTGTGATGTGTGGTTTTGAAAAATAGGCAAGTGTTTTTGCAAGTTTGATCAAGTAACTAAGAGTTGTCTACCCCTAAATTTACTCAAAGGCTTTTCCTATGTTTTTAACCCTTTTAACAATTTTGTTTCACCATTGTATTTGGTGGACAATCTTGCGTTTAGGATGTTTAACGGGACAGGCGCGGGTCATCGTTTAAACCATGATTGCAATGGTGCCAAGTGTCTTTGGGCAATTTTCCTTTAAGGGACTTGATCATTTTTAGGCAACTTTCGAAAGCGTCATCGAGGGACTATGATCATTTGATATTGTTTTGTTTTGCCAAAGACCCCTAACATGCAACATGGCCTATTTTTGAAGGCAACAAGTGGAGTAACCCTAAGGGTGCAAGTGTGGATTGTGTTGTTCATTTTCATGCTTTGTTATCTTTGAATTAGGTCAAGCTATTTGTCATTAGATTTGCATACAAACCCTAAGTCTATCATGGCATATTTAGAAAGCTTTTAAAGTGCGGAATTAAAAGTCCTAAATTATTACACAATGATCATGGGGAAGGGGATACAAATGTTCAAATGGGGATGAGACTTCATAGGAGAGTAGTGTCCAATATTTACAACCAAATCGAATTGCGCAAATGTAAATGTAAAGATGTATAAGAATAAAGAAATATGTATGTGTAAATGTTTTTGTGTAAGTGTATGTTTTATTCACAAGTGAAATAAAAATAAATAAAAAAAGTTAATTTGGATATTTTCATGTTTAGGGCAAAAACCCTAATTTTGCTAAATAAAAGGTATTTATTATTTAATATATATAATATTTATTAATTATGTACAAAAAATAAATAAAAGGAAGTATATTGTAAAAAAGGTATTTTTGAGATCAAATATTAATAAAATAAAAAATGTATTATTTTTGTATTTTTTCCTAAATATTCTAATAAATATATAAGTGTTTATAATATTTACTAAATATATTAAATATGTACAAAAATAACAATATTTATTATTTACAAAAAAGGTATATTTTTTATAAAATGTTTTCAAAAGGTAAAATAAAATAAAATCAGAAAATAAAAATGTATTTGTAATATTTTTGTATTTTAAACAAAAAGGTATATATGTTATTTATATGTATAAACTCAAATAAAACCAATAAAGTCCAAATAAAATGTAAAAAATGGTTAAAAAAATGTTTTTAATATTTTTTTATATTTTGACAAAAAATAACAAGTCAGAATAAAAAAGAAAAAAGTCAAAAATGATTAAAAAATAACACAATGGGCCAAGGGGGTGTATGTGGAATAAAGTGGTGCAAAAAAGAAAAATATCTCAGGCCCAGCCCAAAAGACAAGCTTCTTCAACCTCCAGCCATCCCTGTTCTAAAAAACGCGCGCTTCTTGCTGGATTCAAACATCCTGATTCTTTGATTTTTAACACAAACTTATAACACAAAAAATGTCAAGCATCAAGTCACGAATCCATACATACCAAGAACTTGATCTAACTCTCAGAAATGAGAGAGAATTTCTTCTCCCCCAATTCCTGACCTAACTTTTCCCTAATGTCCAGGTTCCAAATTCTCTTAACACACACAATATAAATGAAAAGTGAGGATACAGGTAGCTTCAGGGCCATGAATAGAACATGCTTTCTTCACAAACCTAAGCCTAGATATGCTTGGATAGAGAGATAGGAGTTCAAAAACTTACCTGTTCAGCTTGATTCGTGTATGACAATGGAGGTACTTTCAATTCAATGTGAGGACTTGTATAGCTTGCTTGAAGTCCAGGGATGTTATTCCAATGCTTGGTGTGCTTTGAATCTTGCTATATCAAGCTACAGAAGTTCACCTGCAAAGTTGAAAACTGAAAATGGCAAATGATGTTAGGGATGTTACAGTTCGTGTCCAATGCTTGGGATAGTTTGTATGGGTGGTAGGGAGTGTGTTTGAACTGGTTTTGGCCAAGGCGCACGAATGGATTGAGTTGTGGACCTCAATCTGCAGCAGGTGCTC